GGGCGGGGGGAGGCTGCAGGCGGGGCGGTCCCCACAGGGACAGACGCGGAGCTCCAGGCGCACGGCACGGCAGCAAGGACGGACGCGGGGCCCCCACTGTCACCGAGACCCTGGGGAGGGGCGGGAGTCACACTTCCTGACCCCAGGGTGAGGACGAGCAGATCCCAAAGGGCCAGAGAGCAGGGTGGGCCCGCAGGCGCAGGTGTCCAGAGAGCGGCGTGTGCTCTCCGAGGCCCAGGAGCAAGTGTGGCGTCCACGTGAGTGACCCGCGCCCTCAGCAGGGAGCCCGTCCATGGGCTCGGCCCCGCCCCCGCGTCCCTCCTCCTGCACCCGCGGGAGACCACCACCCCCAGGGACGGGCCTCCATGTGCAGTCGCCACACTGGGCGTCCCCAGCCCACCCAGGGTCTGGCAGCGGGACCTTGCTTGGCTACTGCACGGCTGGCTCCAGCCCCAGAGACTCTGGACGCCCCTGAGACCCAGCCCCCCAACACCGTGCCCGCGGGAGCAGGTCGCACGGCAGCGCCCCGCCCTCTCGGAGGGGCCAGCAGGGGCGGCGGGCAGGGGCTGTGCCCGAGACAGCAGCCCCAATCCCTCCCGCGGCACGTCCATCCTCCAAGACACTGGCCCCTTCTGCCACCGGTCACTGCCCCGTCCGTGGTACAGACAGTCTGGGGACCCGCTGTCCTCACCCTCACTGGCCGCTGAAGTCACAGCCTGTCACGGCAGGGAAAAGGCTGGAATGCGTCAGATGCGTCTCTAGCCCGGCCTGCCATGTCACAGGGTCGTGAGTGTCCCCTCACGCAGACCGACCCGGCTCCCACTGCGGGGGCTGCGATCAGGGCTGCAGGCCGAGGACAGCGGCTGGACCGAAGCGGCTGGGCAGAGGACGCACGCTGCAGGCAGGGACACTCCCAAGCAGGCCGCCCCTGGCGCGTGGCCCTCTGCCTCGGTGAGGACCGTGACACCTGCAGCTTCGCAGACTGGTTTCGGCCGTGCACCTGCCCGGGAGGGAGCGCGGTGCCGGCTGCTCTGCCCGCGGCTCGTGAGCCGCCCGAGGCCTGGGAGCCGCCAGTGCGGACCGCCCGCGTGTGGACGGGACCGTGCTGGCGGCTTTTGAGGCGTCTTGCGGGGCAACGCTGCCCGCACACCGCTGCCCCCCACATTGGCCTTCCGACATGACGGGACTGAGCCCACCGACCCCCGGCTTCTCACGTCCACGGCCCTCACGAGCACGGAGCTGCGAGGGAGGAGCGCGCGATTCCCGGAGGCTCCGCGGTGTCCGCGGCTGCGGCCTGGTCCTCTCGCGGACACTGAGGACAGTCAGTTGCCGGGCACCGGGTCAGCGCGTCTCCACAGAGGACCAGCCCGGCACTGCCAGCGGCCTCGCCCTCATCCGTGGACGGCGGTGGGACAGGTCACGGTCCCTGGCCCCACACGGGACAAAGCCCACGCCACGGCGCGCATCGGCCCCGGGGCGTCCTCCGTTACTCACCGGCCCGACTCCGGCCTGGAGGATCCTCAGTCCCGACGACCTTTCCAGCTTGTCCTTGCCGTCAACTGAGGAGAGAGGGAGGACAGTGTCAGTTGGGGAGGTGATCATCCCCGGGCACCCCAGGCACTACCCCCCCCACTGGGAAGAGCCATGGGGTCGGCTCTGCCGCCTGACTCGATGGTCCTGCTGTGAGCAGACCTGGGGCAAGGCCACTGGGTGGGACACCTGGCGGGACACCCGTCCCCACCACCGGCCAAGGGCCAGCAGGCCAGCGTCCCTTCTGCTTCCCCTGCAAACGCGGCCGGGGCCAGGTGCGCCAGTGCAGGCTGAGACCCGGACATGGACGTGCCGTGCCAGCTACGAAGTCGGATGCAGGGACACTCGGGTGCTGACTGACTGCGCGCTCGCCGCCCCGCCCCGCCCCGCCCGGCTCACGCTCACAGCAGCCACACTGTGCGCAGTCGCCCGTGCGCTGCTGGCTGCCCTCCTGTCTGAGTCCCCGCCGGGAACACTGCGATGGCTCCTGACCGAGGGAGAGGAAGATGCTCAGAGAGTCGCCCACGTCAGACCATCGAGTCAGGCACCGCACGCCAACGGCCCGCACCTCGTCGGGAGGAAGTCGAGTCACAAAGCAACTGACCTCGCCTTTGCACTCTAGAAATATTCTTTTGGACGAAGCCCCTGCCCTTTTGAAAATGAAAACCAGAAAAACACAGGATTTCGCGGCAAGCGCCGAGGAGGAAGAATGCGTGGCTCGCTGCACGGAGACTGGTGCACTCGCCGCGGCCCACGCGCGTCCTCTGAGCGACCTTGAGCGGGTCGGAGGGGACCAGGCAGCGCCGGCTCTCCCCGCCCGGGCCTTTCCGCTGCCTCGTAGAGGGATTGCCCTCGAACAAACGAGCAGCGTTTTTCACACGTGGGTCGTCACCCGTGCCCCGGGGGACGAGGTGGACACAGCCCCCGGGGTTGGAGCAGCTGAGCAGGAGCTGCTTGAAGGTGCGGGGGGCGGGGCGGCCCCTGGAAACCCTGGAGGAGGAGACGCCCCTTCTAGCCACGGCGTCGGCAGCAGCGGCTCTAAGGCCCTGGGGATAAAGGAGTGTTTTACGGGATGGCGAGCCGCTTCGCTTGGGGTCGGGGGGACAGGAACTCTCAAGCAGCTGGGGAGCAGAAAGCACACAAAATGACTTTGAGAAAGAGCCCTTCATCGCCACAGAGCAGCAACAGGTGTTTCGGCCCAGGAACGACGACGCCAGCCCGACCACAGATCCGCGGAGAGCCAGGGGTCAGCGAGGCTCGGGGAAGGGCTGGGCGGGGGGCGCTCCAGGCTCGCCGGCCCCGCACAGTGAGGGCTGCAGGGTGGTACTTAAGGGGACAGGGGATGGGCCTGTGCTCCTGCAAAGCCTCATCCCACAGCAAGCGGTGGCCGATGACCCTGAAGACCATGCGTGCTCGTGTCCACCTCCACACCGAGGCCGGGCTGCCCTGCTCTGCCTGGACGCCCTTCGCGTCTGCCATCTGCATGGTGACGAGACGCGTCAGCAGAGCTTCCCCACCCACACCCCCGGGTCTCACAGAAACACGCACGGCCTTGCCCGGCTGGGGTCTCAGGCCCCGGCCAGTGTCCTTGCCCCAGGCCCTCGGGCAGGCCTTTCGCCCCAACGGAGGCAAACCGCCCACCCTCTCAGCTCGATGACGACGCGGTCATCCTCCAGGCCCCTGCTCCAGGCCCCCAGGAGAGCTGTGCAGGGCGATGCCCATGTCACGAGCAGCTGTGAGGCTGTCGGAGGCTGTGTGCGCCGCGCACGTCCAGGCCCAGCCCCTGCCCATGGCCGGTCGGTGCTTTATTGGACCCGGACGGCAGCTCGGCCCGCGTCCCCGCTCACGAGGAAGGTGCTGCTGTGTGCTCGCGGCTCTGAAAGGCCAGTCCCGGTCCCCAATGCCACTCGCTTGTCCGTGGACACTCTGTCCGCCTCCCAGAGGTCGGCCGTCAGCGGGAGGGACCCTCCCCGACCTGGCTCAGGCCCTCGGGCCAGGGCGTCCTCCCTGGGCTCAGCCCCATCTGCACCTCCACGCGAGCCAGCCCTCGGGCCTCGGCTTCCTGGCGTCTCTGAGGCACCTCCTGATGCGCATTTCCCGGAGCTCTGCTCCCCACCAGCTCCTTTGGGGGTAGCTGGACTGACCAAGGTGAACGGATCCTCTCCCTCCCTCTCACGCGCGCGCTCGCTCATTCATTCATTCAGAGCACCCTGGGTGTCAGGTGCTGGGCTGGGGTGACGCATGCCACAAGCCCTGGCTGAGCTGGCATCTCTGAGAACGTCTGCATCTGTCGTGACAGGGCTGTGGAGGGGACGTGTCTGGTGTCTCTCAGAAAGAAGGGCCGCCAGATGTGACCACATCACTCGAGAGGTGGCCTGGCCTTCGTCGGCACGGAAGGACCACCGTCGCTCAGAGTTTTTCTAGTAGAGTCTGGGAACCTCCTCCAGGGGTGCGTCACCTGCTCTGCAGGTGTGATGGGCTGGACAGGCAGGTGGCCCGTCACCGTCAACCTGGGTCACGGCCTTATGTCTGTCCTGTGGCAGTTCGCTCTGCAATGCCCAGTCCACCCTGCTGTCCTACAGACTCTCCACCCAGGAGACAGACAGGCCTTGCCGCCCGTCCAGGAGCCCGCGGGAGCCGTGCGAGGCGGCCTGCTGTGTGTCCCATGTCCCGTCCTCGCCCAGGCTCTCAGCGAGGACAGAGCGTTTGCCACCGTGCCTCACGGAAAGCCTCTCTGACGCCGTGGGCACCGTCTGTGGGATAATCCATCCTGGCCCTGTGCCAGGTGTCCCCACCTAAGGGCGGCTCACTGCAGGTCACGAGGAAGGCGCTCAGCACCACCGTGGAAGCCAGCGCCGGGCGCCCCGCCCTCCCGCGCCCCGCCGGAGCCGCCTCCGTGGAGAGGCCGGCGGCGTTCCGGTCACGCCGGCAAGTGCCTGCGGCAGCTGGAGCGGCCAGAGTGTGGGGGGCTGACAGCTGCTTCGCGACCTTCGCCCCGGCTCGGCGGCGACCCCCTCTCGATGGTAACCCCCTCTCGATGGTCTGCTCTTGCCTCGGTTTCGCTCGCTGGCGGCGCTGAGTGGAGTGCGTGGGGCCGCGTGCCCCGGACCGCGTGCCCCGCAGTGCGGTCATCCCTCCCGCGTCCACCGCGGGCACGGCTGCTCTCCCTCTGGCACTGCGGGGGGAGGGTCGCCGCGCACCTTTCGGCGGCCTTGCTTCTGACAGACGTTCTGTCCAACGCCGGCTCCGCGTCCTCATCACGCGGAGACCGGGAGAAGCTGCTTTAATGCAGGGAACGTTGCATAAAGCCCATTTTTATCTTCGCGGCAGACAAAAGGGTTTCCAAACACAAAAAAGTCCTTTAAAATTAAATTCACTAGATGAAGGATATGCAAATCACCTGGAGAAGCAGAACCCTACAATGTTCTCAAAATTCTGCAATAGCCCATTTAATTAGTATTTTAATTTATCAGAATAATTCCCTGCACTTGACGACGTATGCGGCATTCCATGTAATTAAGCACGCGGCTACGGCAGAGTGACCTGCCTCTCTCTCTAGCGCATTCTGCTAACGGGAAAGGACGTACAGAAGTCCCCTCTGTGATGAAGTCCCTCCGGGGACGCTCGGTGGCCGAGCTGTGCAGGAAGCAGGCAGAGGGGGAGCAGGGCGGCGTGAGGCAGGCTCAGGCGCCGGCCTCCCCTGGGCACGGGGGGCTCCCCGCTGGGTGGGGATCTGTGTCCGGACCTAGCTCCACCACGAGGTCGTGCGTCCACCGCCATTTCTACCCCGCACACTCTGCCAGGGCCTCCCGCTGCCGAGGAAGGCGACAGCCAGCTGTGTTGGTAGGTAAGTGTGCGTTTGCTCGCCTGTGTTGGTAGGTAAGTGTGCGTTTGCTCACCTGTGAGTAAAATACATCATTTTATCATATATGCATCCCCCAGGTTCTGGAAAGGGTCTCTGAAGCCAACTCACGAAGACATTCTCTTAAAATTATACACATTTGCTCGTGAATTTGTAATTGAAAGTATCAGCCTCTTACACTTACACATGAGATATCAGACAGGCACCAGGGAACACGTATAAAGCGCGTGTGGTCACGAGGAATGGCGAGACAGCAGGCGCCCGCAACCTGACTCCGAGAGGCCGCGACGTGTGTGGCCGCACAGCCCCGCCCCCCGGCACACGGAGCGACCTCCCCCCAGCGAACGCGCAGAGGCCACCGCTGGTGCCTTGCTGTCCTGCGTCCGGTGCTGCTGGGCCCGGGGGGGGGCGGGGGTTGGCCGGCGGGGAGGGGCACAGAGCGCTCGCAGTGTTCACGGTCGGGTCCGCCGTCCCACCCGGGTGCGTTGTGAGGTGCCCCCGAACGGTCGCAGCGGTGGCATCGCAGGCCGCCGACTGCAGGTCACCGCGACGCGTGTGACAGAGGTGGGAACCCCGTGGCCGTGCCAGCGGCAGCAGGGACAGGAAGTAGCGGGGAGGCTGCGCTGATCAGCGTCATGCGGGAGCCACACGCCTTCCGATGACGGACGCAGCCCCAAGCACAGCGAGTGAGGACGCCGGACACGCGGCTCTTCGTGCCCTTTACTCTACGTCTAGAACCAGCCCACGTCCACGCCCAGGTCGTTGCCCCAGTTGGCAAATCTGTTTTCAGTTGGAACTTCTGTTCGCTTACATTTACTGCGTTTTTTGACATATTTATTTCCAGCGTCCGATGTTGTCTCTAGGCCTGAGAGTTACAAACTCTACCTCTATTTTTAGTGATCGCCCAAAGATTTTAATATTCGCATGTAACCAACTCTCACGTTAATAAATAGCTATTCTCTTAACATTTACGAAGACCTGAGAACACTTTATCCCCAGACACCTTCGTCTGATTTAAGGGCGGTCGTTTTCGCGGCCACTGCCGTGCTCCGTCTTGCCTGCAGCCCCCGGCACGCGATGGTTTCAGACGGTGTGTTTATTTCGGTTCATTCCTGCATCTCGGGTCTGTCTTACGGCGTTATCGTCTTTCCTCTGCAGTAACACTTT